GTTTTATTCTAGCCCTTGGAAAGTAGTATTTATGCGACAAGTTTCAATTTTTGTCATTGAAATGGCTGTGGAAAAATAATAGTGAAAATCGCCAGAAACGGCTTTAGCAGTACAAACTTAAAATTTTTGTTTTTTCGATGATGTGGACTTGAAACAATTCTAAGTATATGGGCGTTCTGGTCTTATATAGTAGTAGTTGGGATAAACGTAGCTCGTCTTTATTTGTTAAAATGGTAGGGAAAATAACTTTCTTTTGATTTTTTAGTTATTATTTTATTAATTATATTTTTCATTAATTTTTCATATGTGGTGCTTTTCATCTTTTGTGAAATACCTTTTATCTTGAAAAAGGAAACATCAGACTGGACTTCTCAGATTATTCGTAATTTTAGTTAGGCTATGTACTGTAAAAGGTTCACGAAAACAAGAAATGGTCATTGGGCTTACACTATTGTTACTATATCAAATTTCTCGTGCAGTGAATCCTAGCGGAAGGAATTCTAAATGAAAACCCTATTATCCCAGATTTCTTATGTTTCCGACTGAGCTTATACGCTCAGCTAAGAAGAAAATGCGCCATGGGAGGCAGTTAGAACACTTACCAAATCTATGCCCATAGTTCTCGTGTGACGATATGTCCCTGCTTAATTAAACAGGGGCGAGGAGCCAAGAAAATTACAATCTTGGCATATTTCTCTCTTACAACCTTTTACTTTTCTGTTGCTACATACATTTACGCAGGACTTTCATAAAATTTCCACATACCTGAATAGAAAAAGCAGGGGACTTAATTCTAACATGATTATCTATTGTAATAAAACGATGATCAGCTAAATTTCCAATATCTGATATAAGAACATCATGACCAATCTTAGAACCTAGAGCACGGAAGAAATAGATTAACCATTGTGTACCACCTATGAACTGGCCAATGAGCACCATGTAATCTCTAAACATGCGAACTACAATACGACGTTTCCAGCCTACAATATTGTCAAATGAATATGTGCCAGGTTTACTCATTTGAGCCGTACAAAGACGGTCACATAAACATAATAAAATTGAATATAAAATTATAAATAATAGAATCAATATAAAGATATTACTAACAAAATACATACAAAATAATCCAAATAAAACAAATGTAAACTTGGCAACTAACTGTGTTAAAAAAAAAGTGAAAATTTCTCCATTAACGTTGATTTTCATCTGGTCAACAGGTGGTGACACAAATGGCATAACACGAGCAGGTAAACCTAATAGAATATCTCCATCCTTACATACTGTCTCCGATGTAAAACGTGTCATAGTGGCAATCACAGAATGAGCTGGTACATTAGAACCAGAATGTATCAAACAATAATTTCCTAACTGAGCATCCTTGTTAATTGTAATCCTATTTACAACACATTTTCCATTAAGAATGTCACTTGCGATGAATCGAACTTCATCAAATGCTGATATTCCGTCTTTAATGGTTAACAAGTTTGATGGACAATGTAAAGAATAAATAAATCGGCCAATCATTATATTATTTCCTTCTTCTATTTTAGCACCTAACCACCGAAGAATAGCACAATTGAAAGAATGAAATCCTTCTAATATTGCAAATGAATAACTGAAACTTGAGACAATTAATCGTCTAAACCATATTTTATGTATATAATACCACGAATTTAATGGATAACTACCTGGTGGAACATGACCGATGACAAATTTCAGTACGATTAAGACAAAAAGTATACATAAAAATGACCATATCATCCAGCATACTGGAAGACTAATCCAAACATATATCTTACACAAGAATTGGCAATAAATTAAATATGTAATGATAACTGACACACTATTTAAACATACAATTAGTAATATACATACAAATTGATATACTTGTTGTTGAAACATAAGATTTGTTTGATCAACAGAGGATGATAATTGTTCGTTTAAACAAATTTGTTGACCATGACTTAGCGTATTCGATGGAATATAACCGTTAACACTTGACATTGATTTAACATAAACATTATCTTGAATAGAAACACCGTTGTATAAAACACTGCAATCACCAACAGAACAATTTGAACCAATATGAACCGAATTCAATTCATATGTTGTATCTTGATAAGATAAACCATTCAAAACAACATCGGAAGAAATAAATGTTGAATCATTTATGTTTAATAAATCAGGTGCATCAATCAATGTTGTATAAATACGAACATTTTTACCAATCTGAGCACCACATAAACGTAAATAACAGTTATACATTGGTGTGCCGAGAATAACATCTAATTGTCGCGAATTTATTATCCATAAACGATTTAAAAACCAGAAACTATAATACTTGAAGGAATATAATTGATTTTTA